AGTGCTTTCTCTCCAGTATTTGCTAAAGAGGACGTTAGATGGAGGTTGAAAAATATAAACAACTCTTATTCTGTTTTTATCTTGATGAGAGTTCATCTCTCTCTCTTCCCTCTCTCTTCTCTCTCTCTCTCTATATTTTATACTACTATATATCTTTTTTTTTTTTTTTTTTATATATATATATTATTATATATATATATATATATATTATATATATATATATATATATATTATATAGTTAATTTAAGGGATGACTGGCTCGTCTTTCCACAGTTATATAATACAACATTAACGCACAACAACACCTCCATTTCTTAAGTAACAGCCGCAACGAAACCCAACTTTCCCCACACATAAGAAAAATTTTCAGCATACAATGTCATCATAAAATAAAGACAGTGAGGGATCAAAGGGAAACAACACAGAAACACACACCCCTGCCCCATTTTCTATGAATGGAGGGTATTGCAGATCATTGGAAGGTCGTGAGGGCGTCGGTGTGTGTTTTGTGAGGGTTGAGGCGGGTGTCTTACAGGCCTCCAAGGGTCGTCTTCTTTTGTATTAGTTTGAAGGGCGTAACGTCGAAATATTTTGTAAACAAAGCTGCAAGAATGCACAACATGCTATTTTTTGATCAACTTTTTGATTGGAAGTAGAAGTTAAAACTCTATAATAATCTTTATTTCTAGAAGTACATGATACAACTAATACAGACCTCGCTGACATCACTGGCATACCGTATAGAAAGTCCCTGGTTATGTACTAATATCCAGGTTATGACTAATATCCAGGTATCTACTTCTTGGTGAACAGGCACAGCGGGTGTCTGTGGTTCGATCCCCGGCCAGGTGGATACATTGAGCGTATTTCTTTACATTTGTTTGTTCATGTTCACCTAGCAGTAAGTAGGTACCTGGGTGTTAGTCGACTGGTGTGACTCGCATCCTGGGTGACAAGATTTAAGGACCACAATGGAAATAAGACAGTCCTCGATGACGTACTGACTTTCTTGGGTTATGCTGGGTGGCTAACCCTCCGGGATTAAAAATCCGAATAAAATCTTATTTTAAGGGAAAGTGTCCAACGTTTCACCCATGCTGGGATCCATCCCGGACCCTCAGTGTGTGAGCTATGATGCTACCAGCCAAGCCACGGGGCGTTGTATAAGTAGTTTCGTTTCTGGATGTTTGTGTCTTGCTCCACAGATGTCTCTCTCTGGTATGGATACAAGGTCAATCTTGTCAGTTCAGTCACCTGCGTGACCTCGCTGTCTTGACAGGATCACTCATTTTTTTTTCTGAAGAATCACGATACTTCGTTAATTTAGTAACTGTATTATATACGTTGTGGAAAAAAAGACACCTATGTACAGTTCAGGACATTTATTAGAGGAAACGTTTCGCCACTATTGGCCTCTTCAGTCCTACTGTACGTGTCTTTTTCACACCATGTATGTATTACCACACCATTTTACAGTTATATTATACACACCATACCCATCCCGTGGGCGGCAGGCAAAACATTACACCTTGCTAGTAGATACTGACAAATTAGTTTAGAAAGAAACCTAAACAAACACTAGGACATATTAGAAAACGTTTCGGTCCTGGGACCTTGATCAAGGTCCCAGGACCGAAACGTTTTCCAATATGATCCTAGTGTTTCATCACGCGTCTTTTTAAACCACACATAGTGGGTCAGATTGACTGGGCAGCCGTCCAGTGAGAGCCAAACAAGCTACAGTAATAATGATCTTACAAGGTGTTTATTTTTTTTAGTTAAAATCGTAATGAAATTGTAATACAGACGTTAATTCAGTTGCAAAATATCTGAAGATGATTTCTACGTGACCCACAATGATGGCTGATACACTCAGCAAGGAGCACAAGTTAACTGGTCCCAGCAGCGTGTTAATATTGTCCCAGCAGCGTGTTAATATTGTCCCAGCAGCGTGTTAATATTGTCCCAGCAGCGTGTTTATATTGTCCTAGCAGCGTGTTAATATTGTCCTAGCAGCGTGTTTATATTGTCCTAGCAGCGTGTTTATATTGTCCTAGCAGCGTGTTTATATTGTCCTAGCAGCGTGTTAATATTGTCCTAGCAGCGTGTTAATATTGTCCAGCAGCGTGTTAATATTGTCCAGCAGCGTGTTTATATTGTCCTAGCAGCGTGTTAATATTGTCCCAGCAGCGTGTTAATATTGTCCCAGCAGCGTGTTTATATTGTCCTAGCAGCGTGTTTATATTGTCCTAGCAGCGTGTTAATATTGTCCCAGCAGCGTGTTAATATTGTCCCAGCAGCGTGTTAATATTATCCCAGCAGCGTATTAATATTGTCCTAGCAGCGTGTTAATATTGTCCCAGCAGCGTGTTAATATTGTCCCAGCAGCGTGTTAATATTGTCCCAGCATGTTAATATTGTCCCAGCAGCGTGTTTATATTGTCCTAGCAGCGTGTTATTATTGTCCTAGCAGCGTGTTAACATTGTCCTAGCAACGTGTTAATATTGTCCTAGCAGCGCGTTAATATTGTCCTAGCAACGTGTTAATATTGTCCTAGCAGCGTGTTAATATTGTCCTAGCAACGTGTTATTATTGTCCAAGCAGCGTGTTAATATTGTCCTAGCAGCGTGTTAATATTGTCCTAGCAACGTGTTATTATTGTCCTAGCAACGTGTTAATATTGTCCTAGCAGCGTGTTAATATTGTCCTAGCAACGTGTTATTATTGTCCTAGCAGCGTGTTAATATTGTCCTAGCAGCGTGTTAATATTGTCCTAGCAGCGTGTTATTATTGTCGTAGCAGCATGATAATATTGTCCTAGCAGCGTGTTAATATTGTCCTAGCAGCGTGTTATTATTGTCGTAGCAGCATGATAATATTGTCCTAGCAGCGTGTTAATATTGTCCTAGCAACGTGTTATTATTGTCCTAGCAGCGTGTTAATATTGTCCTAGCAACGTGTTATTATTGTCCTAGCAGCGTGTTAATATTGTCCTAGCAGCGTGTTAATATTGTCCTAGCAACGTGTTATTATTGTCCTAGCAGCGTGTTATTGTCCTAGCAGCGTGTTATTATTGTCGTAGCAGCATGATAATATTGTCCTAGCAGCGTGTTAATATTGTCCTAGCAGCGTGTTAATATTGTCCTAGCAACGTGTTAATATTGTCCTAGCAGCGTGTTAATATTGTCCTAGCAACGTGTTATTATTGTCCTAGAAGCATGTTAATATTGTCCTAGCAACGTGTTATTATTGTCCTAGCAGCGTGTTATTGTCCTAGCAGCGTGTTAATATTGTCCTAGCAACGTGTTATTATTGTCCTAGCAGCGTGTTAATATTGTCCTAGCAGCGTGTTAATATTGTCCTAGCAACGTGTTATTATTGTCCTAGCAGCGTGTTATTGTCCTAGCATCATGATACAAATATCCTAGCAGTACATTGAAATTGTCTAAACTGTTGAAATTTGATTTAGATACAGTGAGGATCGAGTCTAGAATCAGAATATTTCACCTGGACACATCAAGGAACTTTTCTTTTTCGATATGGGATGAATTTTGAATCCACCAAAAGTCTAAATTCACATCTATGAACAAATTAAAGAAAATAGTAAAATTGAGCACAACTTTCAAAAAAGTTACCGGGATTGAAGCTGTTCTCCCCTTCCTTGGATCAAACCTCATTCCCCAGGCGCTGTGGCACCCCGTGCGGGTTTAGTGGTTGAAAATGACTATAATTTCCTTTATTGGACCATCTGTAGTCCATACTGAATCACTAATACATTCACCTCATTTTTATTTGATGATATACGAGGATTGTGGTTCAGTGGTACCGCCTTCGGTTCACAATCGAAGCGCCCAGGTTCGATCCTAGGACGGTTGAGACGTAGAAAAATTGAGACATTTGTTGCAACACTTTATTAATGAGACCTGTTGCAACACTTGTGTATCTTTACAATTGCTGTCAGACACATCAACATCTTGGGATCTTGATGCAGGGAATTCTACACTTACCTGATCTATAAGCCTGACCTGCTTCCACCTGTACATTTCTCCAAGGTGACGCAGCCTACGACTGCTTCCCCTCACCTGTCTGCAACGTATAAGTTCCTCCGCATCTTTTATGAAGATTGATGGACTGATCACATGGACTCCAGGCTGAGGGATTGATTACCTCAAACTCCTCTTCGTCTTCCACCTTTTTTCTGCATTGGACTGAAGAAGCCATTGTGTCTCACCTACCTACCTAGTACCTACCCCCAATCAGTCAGATGCGTGGTAACAGCCTATGCTCTCTCACACCTCTTTCTTTGCGAACTAAAATGACATTGAAGACTGGAGATTGCAGTACCGTGGCTGGAAGAGTTCACAAATACGTTTAGACGATGTTTCGGTCCTTACTAGACCATTATCAAGTCACAAATGAGCAAGAAAAATGGGGAGAAACCCCAAATTATCTCGGACGGACTGAAATGTCGGCTAAATAATATAAACTGTGAAATACGCAATTTATTATAGTCAGGTGAAGAGCTAAATCTACACGGACTTCATCCAGTGGGAATACTGAGTAAAAAGTGGGAGCATACTGGTACAAATGGTTCACTTATGACTGGGCGTTTTTATGACGGTGACAGTTGAAACTGTAATGGCTGTCACGGCCATTCAGCAGTTCAGTATTTGCCATCATACCTGCAGTTTCCCCATGAAGGTGCAAGCTATAATGGCCCTTACTGCAGGGTTCACTCTATAGTGTTCAACTATCACTGGGTAACATTGATAATGGGTTGGGCGAATATTTTTGTTAGTGGTTTAGATTTGACAAGGACCTGCCTAGTATGGGCCAGTAGGCCTGCTGCAGTTTTTCTCCGTTCTTATGCTCTATAATGGTTCTTACTGCAGGGTTCAGTCGATAGTGTTCAGTTATAATTGTTCGTAAGCTATAATGGCCCTTACCGCGGCTTCACTCGACAGTGTTCAGCTATAATTGTTCTTTCATTTCTTTGCAGCGATGTGGTACTCTTGGACGTGATATGAGAATACGACATTCAGGTGACCTCATTACAACACGCGTCAGTAAATTAATGAGAAGAACAGACTAGAAATACTGATACAAGTGCAGGAAATGCGCCGTGCGGTGAAACTCAATAACAATGGCGCACAGACTGCGATGAACTGCATAAGAGGTCAGCCAGAGGTGACCCTAGGTCAGCAGGTGTGATCGCTTACACTCCGAGGTACCTCCAGACACTCTTGTGGTCGGTTACTCTCCGTGCACGCTGACTTCAGCGTCAGGATGGCGTCCTATTCCGAGCTGGCGTTCGAGTGGTCCATGCTTTGTCAAGAATGTACTGACTGCTGGACTGATACAGGTAAGTGTTATATTTATAACATCTGCTGGACTGATACAGGTAAGTGTTATATTTATAACATCTGCTGGACTGATACAGGTAAGTGTTATATTTATAACATCTGCTGGACTGATACAGGTAAGTGTTATATTTATAACATCTGCTGGACTGATACAGGTAAGTGTTATATTTATAACATCTGCTGGACTGATACAGGTGTTACATTCATAATTTCTGTTGGACTGATACAGGTATCGTAACTGTAAATCAGTAATTACTTTCAAGAGGTAATTACCCAAAGCCTACCCTTGACCCTGACCTTGAGCATATAAGGCGCAGGCTGATTTTCCAAGACTTCTTGTGGAAAAAAGGCGTGCCTTTTATGCCAGAAAATATGGTAAGTGTTGCTTTCAGAGCGTTTAATAATGTGTAACTCAAGTGTTACAATGGGAAGAAACAAGCAAGTGTTCCATCTATTTTCCCGCCGAAGTGTACCATTTTAACTTGAAATTGTGGCGTCAGTTTAACCCTGCAAGGCAGGTAGGTACCTTGAAACAGGAGAAAAATTGCTTTTCTGATGAATGGAAGCTCTCTCCTTCCTGGAATCATATTAGAGTTCTGCTGGTGGTGCTGATACAACAGTCAAGTTATGCTGATGCTGTTGATACAAGAGTCAAGTTATGCTGGTGCTGTTGATACAAGAGTCAAGTTATGCTGGTGGTGCTGATACAACAGTCAAGTTATGCTGGTGCTGTTGATACAAGAGTCAAGTTATGCTGGTGCTGTTGATACAAGAGTCAAGTTATGCTGGTGCTGTTGATACAAGAGTCAAGTTATGCTGGTGGTGCTGATACAACAGTCAAGTTATGCTGGTGCTGTTGATACAAGAGTCAAGTTATGCTGGTGGTGCTGATACAACAGTCAAGTTATGCTGGTGCTGTTGATACAAGAGTCAAGTTATGCTGGTGGTGCTGATACAACAGTCAAGTTATGCTGGTGCTGTTGATACAAGAGTCAAGTTATGCTGGTGGTGCTGATACAACAGTCAAGTTATGCTGGTGCTGTTGATACAAGAGTCAAGTTATGCTGGTGGTGCTGATACAACAGTCAAGTTATGCTGGTGCTGTTGATACAAGAGTCAATTATGCTGGTGGTGCTGATACAACAGTCAAGTTATGCTGGTGCTGTTGATACAAGAGCAGAACTATGCTGGTGGTGCTGATACAAGAGCAGAACTATGCTGGTGGTGCTGATACAAGAGCAAAAACTATGCGGGTGGTGCTGATACAGAGCAGAACTATGCTGGTGGTGCTGATACAAGAGCAGAACTATGCTGGTGGTGCTGATACAAGAGCAGAACTATGCTGGTGGTGCTGATACAAGAGCAGAACTATGCTGGTGGTGCTGATACAAGAGCAGAACTATGCTGGTGGTGCTGATACAAGAGCAGACTATGCTGGTGGGCTGATACAAGAGCAGACTATGCTGGTGGTGCTGATACAAGAGCAGAACATTGCTGGTGGTGCTGATACAAGAGCAGAAACAATGCTGGGGGTGCTGATACAAGAGCAGAACTATGCTGGTGGTGCTGATACAAGAGCAGAACTATGCTGGTGGTGCTGATACAAGAGCAGAACTATGCTGGTGGTGCTGATACAAGAGCAGAACTATGCTGGGGGTGCTGTTTACAAGAGCAGAACTATGCTGGTGGTGCTGATAAAAGAGCAGAACTTGCTGGTGGTGCTGAAAAAGAGCGAATTTGCTGGTGGTGCTGATACAAGAGCAGAATATGCGGTGGGCTGTTACAAGAGCAAAACTATGCTGGTTGCGATAAAAGAGAGAACTATGCTGGTGGGCTGATACAAGAGCAGAACATGCGGTGGTGCTGATACAAGAGCAAAAACTAGTGGGGTGCTATACAAGGGGCGAACTAGCTGGTGGGGGGCTGATACAAAGCGAACTATGCTGGTGGTGCGTACAAGGGGAAACTATGCGGGTGGTGATACAAAGCAGAACTTGCGGTGGTGTGAACAAAGAGAACTTTGCGGTGGTTGATACAAGAGAAAAAATATGCTGGTGGTGCTGATACAAGAGCAAAAACTATGCGGTGGTGCGATACAAGAGCAGCTAGTGGGGGTGCTGATACAAACGAACTATGCTGTGGTGCTGATACAAAGCAGAACTATGCTGGTGGTGCTGATAAAAGGCAGAACTATGCTGGTGGTGCTGTACAAGAGCAAAAACTATGTGGTGGTGTGATACAAGGCAGAACTATGCTGGTGTGCTGATACAAGAGCAGAACTAGCGGGGTGTGTACAAGGCAGAACTATGCGGTGGTGCTGATACAAAGCAAACTATGCTGGGGGTGGATAAAAGGCGAACTATGCTGGTGGTGTGATAAAGGCAGAAAAAGTTGGTGGGTGCTGAAACAAGAGCAAAACAATGGGTGGTGCTGATACAAGAGCGAACTATGCGGTGGGCTGAAAAAGGCAGAACATGCTGGGGGTGCTGTACAAAAAGGGAACTATGCTGGTGGTGTGAACAAGAGCAGAACTATGCTGGTGGTGCTGATACAAGAGCAGAACTATGCTGGTGGTGCTGATACAAGAGCAGAACTATGCTGTGGTGTGATACAAGAGCAGAAACTATGCTGGTGGTGCTGATACAAGAGCAGAACTATGCTGGTGGTGCTGATACAAGAGCAGAACTATGCTGGTGGTGCTGATACAAGAGCAGAACTATGCTGGTGGTGCTGATACAAGAGCAGAACTATGCTGGTGGTGCTGATACAAGAGCAGAACTATGCTGGTGGTGCTGATACAAGAGCAGAACTATGCTGGTGGTGCTGATACGAGAGAAGAACTATGCTGGTGGTGTGATACAAGAGCAAAAACTTGCTGGTGGTGCTGATACAAGAGCGGGAAACTATGCTGGTGGTGCTGATACAAGAGCAGAACAAATGCTGGTGGTGCTGATACAAGAGCAGAACTATGTGGTGGTGCTGATACAAGAGCAGAACTATGCTGGTGGTGCTGAACAAGAGCGGGAAATAGCTGGTGGTGCTGATACAAGAGCAGAAACTATGTGGTGGTGCTGATACAAGAGCAGAACTATGCTGGTGGTGTGATACAAGACAGAACTATGCGTGGTGGTGCTGATACAAGAGCAGAACTATGCTGGTGGTGCTGATACAAGAGCAGAACTATGCTGGTGGTGCTGATACAAGAGCAGAACTATGCTGGTGGTGCTGATACAAGAGCAGAACTATGCTGGTGGTGCTGATACAAGAGCAGAACTATGCTGGTGGTGCTGATACAAGAGCGAACTATGTTTGGTGTGTGCTGATACAAGAGCGAGAACTATGCTGGTGGTGCTGATACAAGAGCAGAACTATGTGGTGGTGCTGATAAAGAGCAGAACTATGCTGGTGGTGCTGATACAAGAGCAAAAACTATGCTGGTGGTGCTGATAAAAAGAGCGGGAACTATGCTGGTGGTGCTGTTTTACAAGAGCAGAACTATGCTGGTGGTGCTGATACAAGAGCAGAACTTATGCTGGTGGTGCTGATACAAGAGCAAAACTATGTGGTGGTGCTGATACAAGAGCAGAACTATGCTGGTGGTGCTGATACAAGAGCAGAACTATGCTGGTGGTGCTGATACAAGAGCAGAACTATGCTGGTGGTGCTGATACGAGAGAAGAAAACTATGCTGGTGGTGCTGATACAATGAACAGAACTATGTGGTGGGCTGATACAAGAGCAGAACTATGCTGGTGGTGCTGACACAAGAGCAGAACTATGCTGGTGGTGCTGATACAAAAGCAGAACTATGCTGGTGGTGCTGACACAAGAGCAGAACTATGCTGGTGGTGTGATACAAGAGCAGAACTTGTGGTGGTGCTGATACAAGAGCAGAACTATGCTGGTGGTGCTGATACAAGAGCAGAACTATGCTGGTGGTGCTGACACAAGAGCAGAACTATGCTGGTGGTGCTGATACAAAAGCAGAACTATGTGGTGGTGCGGGATACAAAAGCAGAACTATGCTGGTGGTGCTGATACAAGAGCAGAACTATGCTGGTGGTGCTGATACAAGAGCAGAACTATGCTGGTGGTGCTGATACAAAAGCAGAACTATGCTGGTGGTGCTGATACAATAGCAGAACTATGCTGGTGGTGTGATACAAGAGCAGAACTATGCGGGTGGTGCTGTTTACAAGAGCAGAACTATGCTGGTGGTGCTGATACAAGAGCAGAACTATGCTGGTGGTGCTGATACGAGAGAAGAACTTGCTGGTGGTTGCTGATACATGAACGAACTATGCTGGTGGTGCTGATACAAGGCAGAACTATGTAGTGGTGCTGATACAAGAGCAGAACTATGCTGGGGGTGCTGACACAAGAGCAGAACTATGCTGGTGGTGCTGATACAAAAGCAGAACTTGCTGGTGGTGTGTTTAAAATAGCAAAAACTATGCTGGTGGTGCTGATACAAGAGCAGAACTATGCGGTGGTGCGGGATACAAGAGCAGAACTATGCTGGTGGTGCTGATACAAAAGCGGGAACTATGCTGGTGGTGCTGATACAATAGCAGAATATGCTGGTGGTGTGATACAAGAGCAGAACTATGTGGTGGTGCTGATACAAGAGCAGAAACTATGCTGGTGGTGCTGATACAATAGCCAGAATTTATGCTGGTGTGCTGACACAAGAGCAGAACTATGCTGGTGGTGCTGACACAAGAGCAGAACTATGTGGTGGTGCTGATACAAAAGCAAACATGCTGGTGGTGCTGACACAAGAGCAGAACTATGCTGGTGGTGCGATACAGAGCAGAACTATGTGGTGGTGTGATACAAGAGCAAAAACTATGCTGGTGGTGCTGATACAAGAGCAGAACTTGCTGGTGGTGCTGACACAAGAGCGAAATATGCTGGTGGTGCTGATACAAGAAGCAGAACTATGCTGGTGGTGCTGATACAATAGCAGAACTATGCTGGTGGTGCTGATACAAGAGCA